TCTGACTGACGGATTGACTACTGAAATGGCCGCTTTCGACGGGGAATTCCGGCTCGGCTCCGCCTCTCGAATCCAAGACGCGCAGTTGATAAAGGCAGCCTTGGCAGACATCATGACGCTTAATTGTTAGACTGAGGCTGCAATGGGAGGGAAAACGCGTGCCATCGGCAAAGGTCAGCCCTAAACGAACACGCGAAAAGAAACGGAGGGGCTCGAAGAAAAGCAGATTGCGTGTGGCCATTTTTTAACAGCGATATGGCTCACTGAGATGGAAATCTTGATGCATAAAGCATTAGCTCTTCAGAGAGAGCAAGAGATGCGCCGCGAGGTTGAGGAGGCTCCGAAGAGTTCAACAGGATTGTGCGAGGCGGTGCTGTTTTCTGCTGAGACGTCGAGCACTGACGATTTGACAGGAACTGTCACATCCGACAGCATAAATTCAATTCGAATGCGGACAAAAAGAAAGACTTCTGCGCAGTTTCACGTCTCAACTCCCTCTTCACCCTGCTTCCTCCCCCCTCGCCCGCTCGTTGTTGTGTGGCGCTCCAACAACATGCTGCAGCAAAGATTTTCTGTGCCGCTTCCGATCATGGTTCTTCGCAATTTTTAATGAATACGAGACGCCTACAGCTAACAATAGCTGAATGCATAAGTGGAATGAACAGCACGCCTAGACGTCTAGCCTAGGCGATAGAGCTACCTAACGATACGGGTAAAATTTGTACGTTTTTGAAAATGGGATGAAATATTTCACTAGAGGGCGCTATCGCAGGATACGAGGGATTCTCTAGGACAAAATCTAGGAAAGGGCAGAAATTCCGGAGAATATGAAAATTGCTCATGCAGCCTGGAGTCCTCATCCCCGCCTGGAAGCCCGGCCCCTTTTCAAATGCATTGCCACCACAATGCCCCTCCTCCTTCCCGTGGGCGTATTCTATCCTTCCCCAAGGGGTTGGGGACGAAAATCCCTTTAAATTTTCTCTGTCTTCCCAACTGGGATTGTCCTGATAAAGGCCTACATTTAATGTATGTATGTAGGTCAAAGTAAACATGCACTGAAAATGAAGAAACTATATCGAAAAACAAATTTAAAAGGTTTCGTCCCCCAACCCCTTGGGGAGGATTGAATCCGGCCCCATCATATCTTGCAATAACGCCCTTTGGAAATCTCTTCGACGCAGCAATACCCATCGATGATTCATCGAATTCATGTAGAAGCTTTCGGTCGCTTTCCAAGATCGAAGTACGTGCAGGGTAAAAACTCTGCTTCTCTTTGGGGCGTGCGGTAATCAAACGTTGCGAATCTCATATGGCAAGCCGGATGCACGGCGCATCTCAAGAATTGTAATCAGGAACACGCACCTTTTCTGCTTTTATCCATTGCATGCACTGCAGTGGTATACATACATGGAGCAAAAAGCATTTTGGCTCATGTCGCAGACCATCTGATTTTTTTTTTTCGCTGTAAAAATTGTCACCCTTCGAGGATTTGCTGTTGGATAAATTGTTTTTAGAATATCCCTCTATAATAAGTTGCCGTAAACCCTCTTTCACTGTCCTTGCCGTCTTCAGAATATGCGCCGCCCTCTGTCCCCGTCATCGAGGCCCAAGGAGACCTAACCGTAATTACTGCTAACCTGCAGGCCTCTCACATCAAGTCATTACGTCAACCGATTCACGTTTTGCTAGTTTTCTAGAGACTATAGCTGTGACTGCGCAAATCCCCTCCCAACTAGCATTTCAGGAGACGTCGTAGTGGTACGCGACCCGTCGAGCACTCGTTAAGCTCGATCTTTTTCAAAAATTGATTCAATTTTGAGTTGGAAGCGTTCGACTTGAATGCAGCGAAGTGTGATTGAGACTATTTTAATGTGGAGATAAATGTATTTATTATTGCCCCTTTCCCTCCCCACGAACAAGTACGGTGAAAGATAATACGGAGCTATCATTCTAAACGAGTTTCTGAGAAAAATAGACCAAACAGCCCGTACTTTCAGGTTATCTGCTTCCAACAGTAGCTCTTCAATCACGAAATCATGAACTCATTTCACAAAAAAAGTACTTCGTTTAGCGGAGTAGAGAGCAAGGCGGATGGCTACTAGGGAACTCCGAGCCTGTAGTGCCCACCGAAACATTATGCCCCGATTCCAGCTACGCTGGAACAAACCTGAACGGTTGGTAAGAAGATCCGTAGGTAGGTTGTATACTTCGCAATTTATAAACCGAAATCGTCATGAAAAATCAAGCCCAGAAAAGGAGGCAAAGCCTCATCTTATTCTCATACCCCTGGCTTGACCATGCCCCGATATGAGGCATTACGTAATAATAACAATTTCACGACATTTTTCCGAGTAGTGTGAGACCTCATCTGTTCAACCACCGCGTCTCTCCAGCCTCTCCGATTTCTATAGACTGAAACCCGTGCATTATTGAACCTCGGGGACCTCGGTGTTGTTTGTTCGGCTTTCAGCTCCCTTCCACTTCATTCGATGGTCGTCAAAGGCTTGACGAAGCCGTAATTGAAGTCGAAGTGAGGGTACGCATGAGCTTGTGACGTCGTTATCAGCTTTCCTGAAGTGATTGATGATTGCATGGAGAAGGATTCACCCATACAAGCTTCAAATGAGAGATAAGATTTCCTTACTTCGGTTGAATTCCGATCTTGATGACTAAACAAGATTGAAGTGACAACATGACCTAGTAGGCCACTACCACCTGCACTCCTCGACTCGTTCAAAAGGGAAAAGGGACAAAGAAGGATTAAGGACTTGAAAACTTAAGGTTTTGGATGAAGCTCACGATCGTCCGCCTTTTCTCGAGCGCTGTTCAAGTCTGCAATTGAGCATTTCGAGTTCTTTTTTGAAATGAGGTCCATAAATCTGTAGAAAGGTAAGAAGCTTACCTATGCACTGGGTATTACATTTCTACTATGGCTCTTTCCATAGAATAATTCAGTAAGGATTTTCAAGGCCACTGTTTTGTTTTACCCTCCATAATAATACATTTATAAAATAAAAAATAAAATAAATTAAATTTAGTTCCACTTAATTAAAAAATAAAAAATAAAATTTAATAAAATTAAAGAGCAATGTGGAATCGAAAGTTTCTTCCCCATAAAATTTTAATCCTATTTATGAATATTAATAAGCTTTGCTAGCGTGTAGAATTCAGAAGCAGCCATTTTTCTATAATTTTAATTTTTTTTTTTACAATTTCAGCCATTTTAACACCCATTGCGGACCGCGTGCTGCACCCATGTGCAGCACGCCACCTTGCGGAGAAGGATAGTAATCTTCGATTTTTTCAACATTTTGCTAAGTTACAAAATCAGCAGTTTGCTTTTTCACACACAGGATATATCAAGTACTTGTGTACTGGTCGAATTTTCGATAGATTATTGGCCACGGATAAAAGAGACGACAAAAACTTACGGAGTGGGCATTATAATCGCGGTACCAACTGGTTTAAATTTTAATATCTTATGATATTGTGATTTTTATATTTTTGGCTACAGTTTTTTCGCCATACTAAAGTCTGTCATAACCGTCTACTGATCGTAAATTCGAGTCCGAGTACGCATAATCACAACCTAACCTCCCTTCAAAAAGCGAGAAAGTGTCGGGTGCAGAACAAACACCACAACTGACGACGGCCTCCAAGTAAATCTGGTTAGAAGTTGTTTCATAGTGATAGCTGATTTCTGGTAAATGATAGTGTAATTAGTGACAATCGATCAATAACATTTTGCATAAGGCCGTCGTCACTTGCGGTGCATGGTCTGCACGTTCCGACACTTTGCGTCGCTTTTTGAAAGGAGAGGATGACATTAAAATCCTCTATTTTTAGGACTAGAGCTGTTAATGTGTCTTTCGATAAGCCTGCAAGTATAAAGTGTCAGACATTAAAGAGGGTAAGTTATATAAGTCTTTGTTATATAATAATCACGATCAAGCACAAGTGTGATTTCCCAATCAAAGCATGCCGAGAGAAATGGCAATGAAATACTTCTCATTTCCTTAACAACAAAAGATGGAATTTCCCACGGTTGAGCTTCTTCAGCCTTTCGTCCTTCCTCATCTCGTATTACGGAAGAGATTTCTAGAAGCCATGCTTGGGATATCCGAGCCAAGATTCGAAACTTAAAAACTGAGTGGAACCTCGAGCTGAGACTTCCCACAATCGACTTAAAATGGATAATAACTCTGCTCGTAACTCTATAAGGGACGTAAGAGTTCGAAGTGCCCGTTTGATATGAGATGATTCCGCACTGATGCGTCTCCAGAATCTGATTCCAAATCTGCTAAACGGCTCTCCGAACGGAGTTATGAAGCGTAATAGCTCAGTGGTGATGGTTCCGGGTGGCCAGGTAAAGCTCGTAGGATCGGTTCCTTTGCAAGTTTGTTGCTTTGCTTTTGTCCGCAACACTTCTAGAGAGACATTTATACCAGTTATTTCTTTAACTCTTGTCTATAATATTGCGAGACTCATTACCCATAGAGCTATCTCCTTCGTAAAAACTTCCGTCTAAATATATCGTTTAGCAGACTGGAAGCAGATTCGAATCAGCGTCTGAGAGCATTCAAGCTCCCTGACTTTTCCGATGAAGTGATGGCCGGCCGGTTGAATCTATTTTGTCTACCTTTACTGGATCATTTCTCGGAAGTGATTCCTTCATATATTCGAAAATACGGAGAGGGATCAAATTCCACCAACCTGCACCTTTGTAGGCAGCAAGAATTCGAACCGAAACAGCGAGGCTATGAGATAACTACATAAGCACAAACTCGTTTATGATTTGAGGTGTTACAGTTATCATGATTTGTGGTGTTACAGAGTAAAAAAAAATGCCATAAATAATTGGGCAATGTGAAATTTACGAATGTGAAAATTACGAATGTATAAAACTCACACTATTAAACTCTTAATTAAATTACAACATATCATAATTATTAGGGAACACGGGGATGCTGAGAGCCTGTGCTTTGTGACGAGGCAGACATTTACTTAGTGACGGCATGAAGAGCTCTGGCGAAGTATCCGACATTATTGGACGAGATTCCTGCCACAGAAATTCGACCGTCCTTTGTCAAATAAACAGAATGCTCCTTGATCAACTTCTCCACCTGAAACAAATGACTAGGAAGATTGTTGATGACCTTGCACTTCTGCAGTGGTTCACTCTTATTTGGGGACTCATTAACTATTGAGGCTTTTTGTAAAATATGCGAGTAATATTCATGAAGCCGGGTGTTGCGTTCTCCAAAGCAATACCCTCCAATCGAAGTAGTATGAAAAACCCGGGTTATTTTAGTTGTGGAGCAGGCAAGCCCGCACAACTCGTCCGGCCCCGCCCGCCCTTCCCTTATTCATTAAAAATCCCTGTTTAGGGCTTCGTCGTCTATTTTCTTTGCTTTCTTCATTTTGAGTCAACTCGGCATCCACAACTCCATTTTCTAACGCTATGACCCCACAGATTTGATTTGGAGGTGTTACTTTAGGTCTACAGCTAAGAAATTCAGAAAAAAAGGTGTGCGGCAGTTGAGCTGTGCACTGCGATTTGGTCAAGTTGCATCCATAGTTAAACGTTAAGCTTCACCTGTTGAGGATTGATTCCAGTGAAACAGAACATTCCAATTTGATCAGTAATGTGTTGCCAATTACGGCTAGATCCTTCTTTGGCAAGCAATTCCCGCAACTGTTTCCGCATTGTAATAATACGGTCGGCCATACCTTTTACGTCGACCAACCTGCAATTAAACTTCCACATTTCAGCACTTTGATTTCTTCCAGAGAAGAAGATTCAAAGAAAAGTCTCTCATTCGACAAAAGGGCAGAAAATGTAACTGACCATTGCTTATGAAGAGCTGCGTCAGTGAGGATTTTCGTGACAATGCGGGCGCCGTGAATCGGCGGATTTGAGTACAGTGGACGAATGAGAATTTTCAGTTGTGAGGCAACGCGGGCTGCCTCTTCTGCATTCTCACACACTACGGAAAACGCTCCTATTCGCTCTCCTGAAATATTGCTTGAATGCATTACATTTTTTCTGGTGATTTTTGCATTCTTGACTCAACATTCTTTCTCTATGTACATTATTGAAAGGACACGGAGTTACGTGTAAAACAGTTCACCCCAGAATGAAATCAAACCCGCACCTTTCCAGCTTCATAGTTGAAAAGAATCCTTCCCAGAAAAATTGCGTTCTATTTCACTCGTAAACCAGTGGCTTGAGAAAACCACTCGTCCATGATGAACGAAAAGATCAAAAAATTGCATTTGTTTTGGTAAACAATTCGAAACAGGGCGGACCCCTAAGGTGCAACTGACACGCAATTCGCAGCGAAGGATATGCCCCGGCGACCTAGCATGGCCCTCCCCGCGCGCTATCGGCGCGGCACGCCCACCGACTGGCTAACCACTCGCCGCAGGTCTCTAGCCGTTTAGCAGAGAGAGCGTTAGCGTTGAAGAGGGCAGCACGATGAGAGTTGCATCATTGCGGAAATCAACGAATAGAAAAGGTTCCCACTCTTCGGTCTGGGCCGTGCTGAACGGCTAGAGGGTCAGGGGGCGTACCACGCCGATAGCGTTGTGGGGAGGGCTGTTCCATATCGCAGGGGTATGCCTTTCGCTGCGAACTGCGTTTCGATCCGCACACTTGCGGGATCCGCCTGTTTTCCCACTAGGTACATTCTTGGATCTTCGACTTTATCAAGGAGTTCTCTTTGAAAGCGGTGCCACTCCTTTCAGCATTATTTTGGACTTGAGTGTCGTATAAATGCATATCAATTGAATTTCTTGCAAAAAAAACATACCGTACAATCCCATGTTCTTGGCAAATGACTGGGCGAGGCAGATGTTGTGCCCCTGATCGATGAAATAACTGAAAGAAGTGAGAATTTTGTAAAAAGCGACACTCTCACCGAAGAACTCATTTGAATTAGGTATAAGATGAGTATAAACAAGGAATAAATTAGACGAACCGCACGGCATATGCGTCACCATCGACATCTCCCGAAGCGAACCCTTGATAAGCCATGTCGAAGAAAACGAAAAGCTCGTTCTTCTTGCAGATCTCAGGAGATCTTCTTCCATTGTTCCTTCTACAATTACCAATCTATTTAAGGCATCAAATACACAGCTAGAATAATTTGAGAAACTGAAGCGCAGTTTTGAATTCACACTTCATATCTACCCCAGTTTATTTCAGCCCCAGTTAAAGCTGCGCTTGTACGTTCCTCTAACTTATAAATCAAAAACTTTAATGTATTCAGACACTACTGTAGTGAAGTTAATCCAAATTACCAAATGATAAGCGGCCACTTACGAAGGCATGCAACTGCAGTATGGGACGGGGTAGGGTTGTGCGCGCACGCGTGAAGCAGAATGATTGATCCTTTAGGGGATAGCAGCAATGTCAGCCAGTGCTCCTGCCTCGTCGAATCCACACGTGTTCTTGTCGTAGTAGCGATAATTCTTGACATCAACACCAGCAAACCTGATAATTATGACACTTTCAAGCCAGTGACATAAATGGCCACAAGCCCCAAGGAAAAATCATGTGTTCACTATATAATCTTGCAAACGCGATTGCAAATCAATTTGGCCAATATTTTGGTCCTCTAGTCTCGCATGCCTCCAAGAGCACAGTTGAGAGATCTCAGCAAGGCCGATGTCAGACTTTGCGAATCGCGCGATTCGCTAGCGTCTGCGGTCGCGTCGCGGCCAGTGAATCACTCAATTGGCTGGTACCGCAACGCGACCGCGGACGCTAGCGAATCGCGCGAATCGCTAGTAGCGAATCGCGCGATTCGCAAAGTCTGACATCGGCCTAATTGGACATCCAGGCGCTCTCTTTGCAATTCTCTTTCGCTTTATTATTTCTGCAAGGTAGTGGACATTCACATTTAACATACTTCACGCCGAATAGCAACCCAATATGGCTGGCCAGCTAATCGAAATAATCGCGTTGAAAGACCGTTCATAGTGGATTTTTTTGCAATATTTCGATGTCAAGATTGCCTTCACATTCAGGTTTACTCAAAATTGCTTTGCGCTATTCACCGTTTTGGTTCATCCTACTGAACAAAACCACGGGTTTGAGCGTGAAGCGTCAAACACCGCCGTAACCATTCAAAAACCGAAAAAGGGGACCGACGTGAATGGTTGAATAAAGGACCCTTGCAAGCATATAAAACGCGTCTAGATTGTTTATTTACCTAAACTAGCAATAGCAGGCAACCAGTTCCCCACCGTATATAATGTGCCATGTCTGCCTTTGTGTTACGGAGTTTAGCGGTCACGAAATTTACCCTACTTTCTCTGGAAATTCACTTGGAGAGACCCGATGAATTGTGGGATGGGTGGGTCATATCTCAAAATGAGCATTACCGAAGGCAAAAATCATGAATTCGATAAACAGCCTAGAGACGGGAGAAAATTGTGTAAGTGTGCATTGATAAGCCAGATAAACTTAAAGAGACACTCCCGCGGCAGGCGGGGCGTTCTCTAAAAGGCGGTGCCTAATGAAAAGGTTCATGACTCAGTTAGGAGGGAGCCAATAAAGCAGAAAAAAATGATGTTGGGAAGCAATGTCAAAGTGCTACCCACATACATGATGTGAGCTGAGATCCGCTCATAATAGGCGGAGCGTGTTCTGAAGTGGACAGCGCTCCGCCTAGCTACAAGTCATTATAATTCGGTCAATGGATAGCCCAGAGACCGGGGAAAAGTGGATAAAGGTTGGCAAGGAAGAAAACGACGACTGGGCATGGCGTGCACCAAAATGGGCGGAGTTTGCTACCAAACTCCATGACTCGGTTTCAGGAAGTCCCGAGGAAAGGGAAAAAAGTGGACAGGTTGACGAAGGAAAGGAGGTGAGACGTCCTTTGTGGGTGGGGCATGCACCAAAATAGACGGAGCTTACAGTGAAATTTATAAGTCGGTTCAGAGGTAACCCAAAGACCGGTTAAAAGCCGACAATGGTTGACGAACGAATGAATGTCATAAACCATCGGTGGGAGGGGCATGCACCGTGGTGGGCTTGTGAGTTGTGAATGCTGTGGAAGGCGACGATTTTTCAACTGAATATATGAGTCGTCATTGGAGTGTCCCTACCAATTTGTACCACGCTCTTCTTCCCCCTTCGTTAGTTCCGCGCAGTCGCAGTTCCGCTGTGGCCGTGACTTCACTTTAGGTCCTTCTTGATCACGTCTCTCCACCTCTTCTTTGGGGCTCCTCGCGGTCGCTTGCCTTGCACTTCGAAGTCCATCGCTTTTCTTATCGGATGGTCCTGTGGCCTCCTTAGCACATGCCCATACCATCGCAGTCCTTGCTCTAGCACCCCAGCTTACCAATTTGTACCAGACTATATTTTCAGTAAAGCCATCTGATTTCAGTAGGGTGTCCCCCAAGAGGCCCGTCGCGCGGCGAAGGAAGAGACGCAGATGCGGCAAAGGACGAGTCGCAGCGCGTGCTGTGCGATATGAGACGTAGTATGGTACACTCTATTTAACCTGACGCCTAACCGCTACAGTATGCGCTGCGACTCGTCCTTTGCCGCGTCTGCGTCTCTTCCTTCG